GCCGGGCGCGCTCTGGACTGAGGCCCGCGAGCAGGCCCTGTGCGGCCCCGGCCTGCGCAAAGCCAAGTACCGCAGCTTCCGCCGGCGGCTGCTCAAGTTCATCCCCGGACTCAACCGCTCGCTGGAGGAGGAGGAGAGCCAGCTGTAGGGGCGGGGCGGGCGGGGAAGGTATTTATTTATTTATTCGATCCAGCCAGTGCAGAAAGGGGGCGGGGAGGGGGGCGGGTACCCGGGCCGAGGGGACCCCAGGAGCCCAGCGCAGCGGGAGCAGCGGGAGAGGGTCCTTGCCAGCCGCAGCTGGGCTGCTGGTGCCTGGCTGTCTCTGCGGGGGCCCCAGATCCTTTTACTCCTCCTCCCCTAAACCACAGTGGGAGGTGGGGCAGGGAGAACCAGGCAAGCTTGGGTTGGGAGAGGTTTGGGGGCGTTCATCCTACATCTGGGTCAGTAGTGCCTTGTGGGGTGTCCAGGAAAACCCCTCTGGAGGGGAGGAACCCTGTCCCACGAAGCCCTCTCCTCAGCTTTACTTGCTCCTCACCTTTGGCCTGGGGGAGAAATGGCTTCTGGTCAGTAGTCCCCCTACCCTCCACACATATACACCGTCCCAGTTAACCAGCGGGCCCCTGAAGGGGCCGAAGGTGCTGGGTCCCCTGCTTCCCGGCCTTGAATCCTAAGGGCTTGGCCCCTTCCAGGGGCCTGTAACTAAGTTGGGTCCTGCCGGGCAGGGGTCCTGGGTTCCCTGCCTCTTGGGGGACAGGAGTGCGCATGTCCAGGTGGGGTGGGGGCGGCACACTGTTCCACCGTTTTGCATATTGTTGCTTCTGAACCACAAACTGTATAAAATTGACGGTTTTTTGCATCTGTTGTCAGCGTGTTGACTGCCTGGTGGGGGGCAGGATTGGGCTCCAGCAAACTCTGACTCTACCACGCATCCCTCCTCCCCAACACACACTTGGGCGTGAGCGTGCGTGTGCACACACACACACACACACACACACCTACACTGTATTTTACATCTTATTTGCTTGGAGCCTACAGCCAGGGGAATAGTCTGGGGGATTTTGACTTACATGTATGAACCTGAGCAAGAGGCCCCACACCCTCTTCAGAACTTGGGCCTCTTATTTAAGTGCATTTTGAACCTCCCTTCCCAAATACAACAGGTGGTGGCCAAGGCTTGTCTCAAGTCCTTAACTATCCCTGTGCAAATAACATACTTGGAATCTTCTCGGGGCTGGGCCTGGGTCTCCCACAGAGGAGGCCTTAGCCACCAGCCACCCAACCTGTGACAGGCCTAACCACTGACCACCCATTGTTCCAGAACTCCTCACTGGTTCCCCAGTACTCCTAGAAGAAGTTTCTAACTCCCAGGCTGGGTTATCTGACCCCTGCCTGCCTCATTTTCTTGTCTTCCTTCTCTGGCCCCTTTGCAGTTACCTGATATGCTTCAGATCCCATCCGCCCGAGGCTCTGCGTTCACTCTTCCCATAATTGGCCCCTTCAGTCTTCAGCTTTGCCTCCCAAAGGACTCCCCACCCAGTCTAAAATACAGTCACACCTTCCACTGTGAAGCCCTGGCTTTTTCCGCCATACGACTCATCACCATCTGCAGTTGTCTTGACTTTTGTGGAGTCTGGTGTTGGCCTGGTCCCCCTCCCTGGGACGATGCATACTCCTTGCAGTAGAGCCCAGGGACCTTTCCTCTCTTCTCTGCGGCTTTAGCTCTTACCTGATACTAGCTCATAGCAGAACCCCAATAACTACAGTGTGTGCTCCCAGCATCTCCACCTTTCTTTGAGGTGACCCAGGGCAAGTGACCTGTCCAGGGTCACACAGAAAGCAAGTAGCAGAGCTAGGCCTGGGACTTGAGACTCCTGTGCCAGTGCTCGCTGGCAGTGACCAGCATACAAGGAGCAGCTTTAAGGGGTCTAAGTGGCACCTTCCCCTAGCCAGGCCATCTCCTACCCTCTCTGTCCTGCACGGTACTGCACTTGCTTTCCCAAATGGACTCCCCACTACCTCTCTTGCCTCCAGACCATCCCTCCACCTAGTAGTTTGGGCGATCTTCCTGAAAAGGAAATCAGATCATAACCCTCCTCACTTAAAACCCCTTATGGCTTCCCCTGGAATAAAAGAATAAAATCCAAACTATTGCCTATGGCTTATCCTAACATGTCCGTCTGGGCAGACAAATTACAAAAAGACACCCCTTCCTCTGAGTTGACAGCAGCCACAGGGGCCCAAGAGTTTGGTAACTGGGAGCCTTTGTGCAGTGCACAACATCTGCGATTGTACTGGGATGCCTTGCAGGAGGCCCTCCGGGGTCAGGTCTCTATCTCTCTCTTCAAGCTCAAATTGTTTCTCCTTCCGTGTCACTTCTCATGCTTAAGCCACACTAGTCTTCCTGGTCTAACTCCTCAAATACGCCAAGCTCTTTCTTGTCTCCGCCCTTCGCCCGTGCTGTGCGCTCTGCCTGGAACACTTCTTTACAAGACTGATTCCTCCATCCTGCAGCTTCAGCTTAAACACTTCCTCACAGAGCTTTCCCAGATCAGATCAGTAGTTCCCTGTCCTCATTACTCTTTCTCTTGAGCCCTCTAGTTTTTGTTTTTTGTTTTTTGTTTTTTTTCTTTACAGCACTTACCCCCCATTGGTAATTATATGGCTTCTTCTGTATAGACAGGTCTTCTGCCTCCCTAAGGCAGGAAGCTCAGCCTTGGTTACATTGTACCTCCAGGGCCTAACAGAGTGTCATACACAGCAGGTGCTCCATAAACAGGAATGCTTCCATGGGGCCAGGCCAGCAGAGGGGTGACCACCACCTCTCCACCGCCCCCCCTCCCCAGTGAAGAGGCCCCTCCCCTTCTCCAGCGGCTGCTGGCATCTGTGGGCGCCTCTCATGATATCCCTTTGGGGCTGGGTGTCAGCTCCAGCCCGGGCACCTGCACCTGGCCGCTTTGCGCTCCCTGGTTCCGGTGGGGGTGAGTGTGAGGAGGAGAACATTTGATTAAGAAAATGGAGCTTCCCCAAGCTCCCTGTTTGAACAGCTGCTCTGCAGCCACGACAAACAGCAGCTCCCGGAGGCTCGGGTCTCGGCGGGGGCCGGGGGGGGGCCTCTCTTACCTTTGTTCCCAGAGCCCAGGACTCAGGACTGCCGGGAGCCCGGCCAAGCGGGCAAAGCCCAGCGCCTTGCTGGGGGCGGGGTCTGCAAGGGCCGGCACGGCTTTCTCCGCCCCGCAGATACCCAGCCCCTCCCTGACCAGCCTCTTCCTCCCCTCCTCCCCTGCAGCTAGTCTTGGGAGTGCCGCCCGGACCCCTCACCCAGGTGGAAGGGGGCTCCTGGCCGGGGCGCACACCGAGGAGGGTGGGGGCTGGACCCCACCTCCCAGATGATGGGATGACGGCACCGGCACAGCAGCCTCCTGCCGTGTAGGTGGGTGACAGGGAGTGACTAATGTGTGAGCTGCGATGCTAAAAATTAACCCAGGGATCGTGTTTGGTGGAGGGTGGGGGTGGATGGGAAGGGAGCAGGGACAGGGAAGAGTGTGTGGCTGGTATTCCCCCTGCCCTGCCTCCCCTCTTTCATCTTCCATCAGCCTTCTGGTCCTCTCAGTGCCCCAGGGGACTCTGTGGGAGCCCTTCCCCACCCCAGGCCAGAAGGGACCCCCCAACAATTCCAGGGAGAAGAGGGGACACCACCGTAGGTCTTGTGCGTGGTAGAGTGAGGACACAGCCCTGCAGATGGAGCTCTGGTCTGAGGTCCCTACAGAGCCCTGCATCTTCCCCCCTCTCCCTGGCGTGATGGCTGCACGCCCCTGAGCCCCCTGGTTCTCCCCCTCCGCCCCCCCGCTCTGCCCAGGCCTGAGTTCTGCTCAGGAGTGGAGTGGGGAGCAGAAGTAGCCAGGGCACAGAGACAAGGGCAGGTTTCCATCAGGAGGTGGAGTTGGGGGGGGCGGCGCTGTACCTGAAGGAAAGGACCAGGGACTATCTCCCAGAGCACCTCTATGTACCGGCACTGTGCAAAACACTTCCAGAGCCATCGACCACTTAGGCCTCACAGCAGATCTGAGAGCCATGTGCCACTGTCCCCATTTTACAGATGAAGAGAAGCTAAGAATTGGAGAGGTTAAGGTAGCATAGCTGGTACCTGGCAGAGCCAGCATTCCCTCATATATGTTTGTCTCTAGAGCCCGGACTAAGCAGAGGGAAGACTTCCTGGAGGAAGGAGTGTGAGGACAGGATGTCAAGATGGTAAGGGACTGTTGAGAGGGACTGAACCTCTAAGGCTGTGGGGCTCACTTGTGGGGATGGAAAGTGGGAGCATGGAGGGTGGATGAAAGGTGGGACCTCAGGGAGCAGGGTCTGAGATGTGCCAGAGAGCAAATGGAGATCAGGTCCAGAGGGATCAAGGTTCCATGTATGTGGGTGCTGTGCTGGAGTGAGGTGAGAACATTCTCATCAAGGGATTGAGGGGCTCTTGAACCTGGGCTCTGGGGGCCACAAAGGGGCTTGGGCTTGGAGAAGAGCTTTTTTTTTTTTTATTAAAGATTTTATTTATTTGTTTGACAGAGAGAGACACAGGGAGAGAGGGAACACAAGCAGGGGGAGCAGGAGAGGGAGAAGCTGGCTTCCCGCGGAGCGGGGAGCCCGACATGGGGCTTGATCCCAGGACCCTAGGATCACGACCTGAGCCGAAGGCAGACGCTTAACGACTGAGCCACCCTGAGCCACCCGGGAGCCCCTGGAGAAGAGCTTTGTTGACACACATAAGAAAACACGTTAGAAGGAGTAATTCAGAAACACTCCTATTTTGCTTGGAGACAAAACCAGAGAACTTGAGCTGAATGGCTGCAGGAGAAGAGATAAGAGAAGAGAGGGCACTTTCTGCTCACTAATTAGTCACTCCTAAAATCGGGGAAGTAAGAGGCTGCCGGACTCCCCAAAGGTCAGGAGAAATGCCAGGCTGTCTAGTTGGGAGGCTGTCTGGCCCTGCACTGACGGCTGGATGGGATGGCCTAAAGGAGGGAGGGCTGGGCTGAGGCAAGTGAGAGAGAAAGGAGCCTGGGGCAAGGGGAAGGCAGGGGACCAAGGAGGGCGCCTTAGAGCAATTAAAGAGCCAAAAAAAAAAAAAAGGAGATGACACGGCAGAGC